ATCTCTTGAGCTCCTTTCCCACGCAGACCGCAAGATATCCTTTCGGGACTTGGTCGGTGGTTGACGATGAAGAAGAAGAAGAAATCGAGCTTTCCGTGAAGGAAAGTGTTTTCTTCAGAAACTTCATGCTCTTACTCCCACCATTGCCTAAAGTAACCGAGGCGGGGCCCGACCCCGACCCAGAGCTCGTCTTGTTGTTATTGGCAAGCTTCTTCCACTTCTTGAGGATTTGTTGAAGTCTTACTATCTCCATAATCTTGTTCGACTTCCTCGAATCCATATTATATGGGGAACGCGTAGAGAGTTTGTAATGTACTTTACTTTGTTTGAAGCCGCTTGAGGGAATGCTGCTGCACGATAGAAAATAAGTGGTGTATAGAGAGAGAGAGAGAGAGCAAATAATAATATATTGTATAAAGAAACTAATTATAAGTCATTAATGATTATAATTAAACTAGGCACGTTACGGTTTGAATTATTAATTGAATTAGGTGCCTCAAAGTGCTTTGCAGTTTTTATTTATTATTAATTTATTTTAATTAGGTAGTTTCAAAAGTCTTACGATTACAGTAGTACTCGTACGTATTAATTAATTGATTAGAAGGAATAGCTTATAAGTAGAGAAATGATGGGATAATCTGTATATTGAGTAACTGTATGATTAGTTTGGAAGCTATATTTGCTCAGATTTAAGGGTCCGTTTGATTGTAAAAATGAAATTTGAGTAGAAAGAAATTTCAAGAAATTTAATTGTCTAGAAATTGTTTTCCTCGGAATTGTCAATTTATTATGTTTGATTGGTATAATTTTTCACGTGAAAAATGTTGAAATAAAAGTTGTTGACACGTTAAAAGTGCAGCCCAAATCGAATAGCCCAAAGAATGAAGTTCAGCTAGGTAATTCAGGATAAAGGTCCAAATAAGGTTATTAATGAATGCAGTGGAAGCCCACGAATGCGGTAACACCATCGCCCGAACTTGTAAGACGCTCAAGATCTGAGCGAATGAAGTGTCTTGCAGTCGCCCAGGGTTATGGCCCTGTTCTCGTCCAAACCTTCGAATCACCCAAGATCTTAGCAAATATAAGATGTTATGGTTATCCAAAAGTGCAGTTATCGAAGCAGTTATTAGAGAATCATATCATGTTCCACGATTCAAGGATGTTTAGTTGAAGACGGTTGAACGACAAAAAGTAGTGGCAGCAGTTAGAGACGGCAGTTCCACGATAAGTTGGCCGCCATGAAGAAAGTGGGCAGTTATAGAGCAATTAAGCAGTTTCTAAACGGTTGATCACGAAGAGATCATCAAGAGAATATAAAAGGAAGAAAACACATAGAGCAAAGGACCCCGAATCAAACACTCTCAAATAGAAAATATATAATTTCAATTTCTTAGTTTACACTTAAACATTTTTTTCAGTACTCGTGTGCTTGCGCCCCTTGGAGGCATTCTATTTAAATTCCAATTGTAAAGTCATCGCCATTAAAACACCCATTTTTTGGACTTTGTCTCAAGAGATTTGTTTCTTACACAATCGTCTGATCCCTTTTTAATTGTTAGCGACTACACGCGCGAAACAATTTGGCACACCTAGTGGGACACTGGTGTTTGGTGTTGAAGATACAAAAGGTGAAACAATATACCTCAAAAATCTGATAAGGAATCAGCAAGTCAGGGAGGAGTCCAGTCTGTGATCGAGTGATATGAGGAGCAGCATAGCTCTCCACGAACAGATGGACAGAATCAAAGCAATCATAGTCGTTACGAACTAATGACAGAGTTGAGTCCTCGAACCATGCGTGCATTACTCGGAGAACTCACACAAGATGTCGTTGAACAAGTAAATCTATGAAATATTCATAATATGGAAAGATTTACCCAGAATGGGAATGCACATTATGACAACATAGCCAAACAACTGAATACTTTGAATGAAATAATGAATAAGTTAGCAGGCCAGATTTGTCAGCCAGTTGTGCCTCTTGCAAACCACTTTCAAATTAGGACAATTGTGGAACATAATCCCCTAGTCCTAAGTTTAAATCAAGGGGTAGAACCACCTTTTGATCCCTTTACTTCAAACCAGGGGAGTGGTGTGATACCAAATCAGAATAGTGGCATTGGTACATCTAACTTGGGGGCTAACCTAAATGTAAGAGATAATGTCCTAAATAATGGGCAGAATACCCCACGTGTTAATGATGGAATAAATGTTCAGGCTAATGGTAACAATGACCCAAATCATGGCAACTTTGTTGCTAACTAAGGACCAAATATCAGGCCTCAAGCAAATCAACCGGTCAACCAACCTGTAGGAATTCCATATGACCCCAACATCATGCTGAGGAATCAGATTATGAAAATCGTACAGGACCAGATGGCTTTTGGAGTACGTCCTATCATTAGGCCGACTTACACAAAGTCATATCCTGATTGGGTAGATCAAGCATATTCATGGCCTAGAGGGTATAAAGTGCCAGAATTCTCACTGTTTATCGGTATAGGAGAGGTGTCTACTCTAGAACACATAGGGCGATTCACACTGCAAAGTGGTGACGTAACCGATTACCATAAAATGAGGCTGTTCCCTAGTTCATTAACAGGAGTAGCCTTCTCCTGGTTCATCAATTTGCCAGCAAACTCTGTCCAAACATGGAAACAATTGGAGCAATTGTTCCATGCTCAATTTTATAAGACTGAATCTAAAGTTATTTTGGCCGATTTGGCGAATCTACGTCAAATGCCAAACGAATGGGCAGAAGGTTTCCTTTAAAGGTTCAAGACGGCAAAAAGAAAATGTTTTGTACCTTTGCCTGAAAAGGAGTTTGTCAAAATCGCTCAAAGTTGCTTAAACTTTGATTTGAAAAAGAAATCCCAAGACAAAGAATTTCCTGATCTTTTTCAATTGAGCGCGAACGTGATTAGGTATGAACAATTAATAAGAGAAGAAGAGCAAATGAAAAATTCTAGCAAGGTGACTTATTATAGAGACCCAAATTTTGATGTTCATACCATTAATGACGAGTATTACGATCAAACCGAAATGTGTTTGGCCGAATTAGTTAAAGGAGACACGTATACTTGTCCTATAATGGCTAAGCCTAGACCGTCGGGCAAGGATGAGCCTATAAAAGATGAAAACATAAAGGCTAGAACGTTCTCGTTCGATGTAACCAAAGCTGATCTTATATTTGATAAATTATATTAGGATAAGCAGATAAAGCTGAGCAATAAGCATAAATTGCCAAGCCCTGAACAAGTTAAGGGTAAAAAATATTGTAAGTGGCATAATGCATAGTCACATTTGACTAACAACTATTTGGTTTTTCGCCACGTGTTACAGGATGCCATTGAATCAGGACGAATTACGTTCGAGGATAAGAGGAAGATGGCAAGTGGATGAAAATCCTTTTCCATAGCCACTTGGAGTGAACATGGTGATGTTTGGTTTCAAAAACAAGTTGCCAAAATTCAAATTGGTTATAGATGATGAAGAAGAAGACCCTGGACCACATCCCAATATTTTTGAACGTATCAAAGGGAAGGAGCCCAAAAAGGACGAAGACGTCCTATGTGCAAGATGCAAAAAAGAAGTGAGCGCAAATGCAGAGAAACCAGGGATATGGCAACATCACCATCGCCCTAGTTTTTTCCCAAACGCTCAGCCTGGTAGAGGGCGGGGTACATCGTTCTATAAGGGACCGCCTTTTGAGAGGCAGTTCAGGCCAGTAAATAATGGGAGAACAATCAGACCGCAACCTCGCCAACCAAATGTATGGCATTCGTTCCAGTATAAGGCTGGAAGGGCAATACCTTTCAACGAGATGACTAGAACCCAACAAAGGCGTTTTCAACGGATCTATGGGTGAATGATGAGGCAACAACAGGGAATGATGCGTCCTAAGGTACTTAGACTACTCGAGATAGCCAATCAAAATGTTCTCAAAGACAGTGAAGAGACTGGTACAGGCGAACCTATGGAAGAATTGCCAGAGACTTATTTTGGGAGGTCGAAGTTTGAGCGAGACAGAAGGGATGGAGAAGATCCAAATAAGCCCCTTACTATTTAGTTTGGTACGTTACCTCCTGTCGTGGCTAATAACTATTTACTAGCCAATGAGTTCAAGAATAAACAGAAAGGAGAAGAAGAAAAGGAGGATAACGAAGAGGAAGCATGCATGCTGGAATATGAAAAAGGTCAAACTTCTAGAAAGCCCTACAATGGTGAAGAAGATGATGGTATGACAGACATCGAAGAGGAAATTGATCTGGAAGTAGAATGAAGAAGAAGAGGAGTATCGTACAATACTCTGTTGACGCAACTACATCGAGAGGGAGTTCGTGAAGTAGACTTATTGGGAGAATCATCTGGGCGTTTTTTCTATTATTACGTGCTGTACAGGACGCCCAAAAGAAAGAAGAGAGTGCCTCGTTCTGAAAAGTATGGATCACCTCCAAGAATAATGCCTCCTCCCACAGGTTGGGTAACTGAAGAAGAAGCATTAGAAAACAGTAAAAGGGAAATTCAGGAGACAGAGGCTCAGTGCGATATGCTGCACGTTGACTTATCACAAAAGGGTAACTCGATAGAGGACAAGCAGGAAGTGGAAATAGATGCTGTCGAAAAGGTTATTTTTAAGCAGCCAGCCAAGAAATTAACTAAACATTTGAGGCCATTGTACGTTAAAGCTCTAGTTAACGGCATACCTGTGGCAAAAGTGCTTGTCGACAATGGAGCAACTATAAACACCATTCCATCTAGGATGATGAGGAAATTCGCAAAGACAGAAGGTGATATGATCCTAACGGAAGTTATCCTAACAAGTTTCAATGGAAGAGCAACTTCAGGTAAAGGGGTTATGCCATTGGACATAACTATAGGAACAACTACTAGGACCACAGTTTTCTTTGTAATAAATGGTCCCCCTAGTTACAATGTGTTATTAGGAAGAGATTGGATACACGGAAGTCGCTGTATACCCTTATCGCTCCATCAATGCCTAGTTTTTTGGAATGACAAGGGCGAAGTAGAGGTGGTGCAGGCCGATCATAGGCCTTTTGTCGCAGAAGCAAACTCAGTGGAAAGGTTCATGTACGAAGGAAATTATGGACCTGTCAGAGTAGTCCAAGATGGAGAAGAAACTCAGATTGTCGTGCAGAGTGAAAAGCCGTTCTCGGTGGATGCACTCACTGAAATGTTCAGTCAAATGAGGCAAACATAGTGGCCCTAGAGGAGCCAGTAATTGGCAAAAGAATAATCAAGGAGTTTTGAATGAGTTCTAAGCAACAAAGGCAAATGGCCGATATCCAGGCCTTCAAAGTCAAATTAATGACTTTTAATAAAGAATGCAAGGACAAGACGAAAGAAGAAGAAGCCT